GGGGGGGGCGGCTTGTTTTACAACGTCGTTGCCAAGCGACGAAAACCCAACCCCGATGGCAAACACCGGGGGGGCGGGGGGGCTGATGCCACCGCGGGTGTAGAATGCATGTAGTCTACGTGTGTAAGAGTGACAACATTTGTGCAATGTTTGGTCGTTGTGTCGTGTGGGAACACCTGATAGAGCTAGACCTCAGTATGTGTGCGTTATTAACAGTGTCCACGGTACCAGCACGATGTTGTTGGTCGTGTGAAAAGTGAGTGCGCGTTTTTCGTTCTTGTGATCTGTCGGATGGGTCTGTAGGTTGGGTTCTTGTGGTCTGTCGGATGGGTCTGAAGGTCTGTATGACGTCACATCGCCTCTGGCCGATTGCTTGGGCAACTCCACGGTTATCGCTGAGGGCGCATGGGACCTTCGTTAGCGCCAAGGGAGAATTGGATAGGGGGTGACGCAAGTGAGAACTTGCCGGGGGGGGTGCCCTTCTTGTTGAGTTCGAAACGTAAGCCGTGACTTTGAAGAAGCTCCTTCATTTGTAATCACAGTCAGTCGTGAACAGACGTAGACGTCATCGTATACGTTTGGTCCAATTTTTATTTGATATTGTCATTTTCGACAGATGTAGGCGAGTTTGCACACACTCTACAAAGGAGGACTAGTTAGACGTGAAATCTCGCTCCATTGTTATGGCTCCCTACCGGTTATGGGCGAGGGTTTGATTACAAAACACTGACGGAAGGAAAGTGAACCTCAACATTTTTGGTTGCATCTGATCGTAGCGGATGCCCTTTTCGAGCGCACTTTGTGTACGGCCATCACGATGTGAATCTACTGCGTTGAATAATTGTTTGTGACGTCTCTCCCTTAGAGGCGAATGTATGGATATGCGTTTCGAACGTCAGGCTCAGAATTTGGAAGTATTTTCTCTTGTGATGATTTTCGCTGCATACCCTCGTTGAAGCCCTGGGAATTCGCAGTCATGGATGAATGCAATCGTATCCAATTGTGTTTTTTATTTCGTTTGTCGGAACTTCTTGAAATTCCTCGATCGTCGTATCTCGACTCTGCTCACGTCTGTCTGTGCCTTGTGCCCTAAATGCTGAAATATCGACGACGCCGGTTCCGAGCGCAGATGCGTATCTCAGCCGTTCGTGAATGAAACCCGAAAACACGTTGGAAGCACGTGTGATGAAGAAACTTAAGTTGATATTACAGCATATCGCTAGTTTATTCCTGAGCGCCGGACGATCCGAGGCTCTCTTTCTCGTTACCCACCCGCCCCCTCTCCCCCCGTGTCTCTGAATGTTGGATTCGACAAAGGAACGGGGGGTTGGGGATCTCCTGGGTTTGGTACTTGATAGTGCATCGTCCAGGCTATCGCCCTCATAACTGGACCCATCCCTGCCTGCACCTTCCTCCAACGGACTAGTTCTACTATTTTAGGGCTCTCCTATGTAATATTCTTGCCGATGAGACCTTTGATCCGGCCCTCTCCTGCCAACCAACCAATGATTGATATCTGATGTTGAACATTTATGCGGACGATTGACTTTATTTTGTGGTAGTCGTTCGTTGTTCGAGAGTGAGTCTGTGGTGGTACTACTGTACCGGGGGGGTGACTATCCTGGATAGATGACGTTATAAGAAGAATATTCGGAGGTCATGATCCACGTATCTGTATCCAACAGCACAATTTTAGTGCTGTGGCTGGTACATCACGGTGCGACGTCAAGAAATTTCAGAGAGGGGGGGGGGCGATTGATGGTTTGATGGGTGCCTCGCATCACACCTTCTCTACTCGCGGAACCCCCGGAAACAAATCAGAACATGATGACCCCAACCAGCAACACATAGCGACGATGGTGGTGACACGAACACCAGGAGCAGCAGCCAGTCATCGGCTGGCATGGGCTTTAACGACGACTACGAGGTTGTACCTGGTCATAGCAGTCTCCTGTTTGTCACGCCCTTGCGGAGCCTTCTTGGTCCCATCTCCGGCCGGCAGCACCAAGTTGCAGTTGACTCATGACACAGCGAGCGGACGTTCGCGTTGCCGTCGTCCATGCAGTGCAACGAGGGAGGAAGCAACAGCGGCAGCGAGACAGGGCCGCAGCAACGTTGGGGAAGAGACGGAGCTGCGGCTGATGACTTGGATGGAGGTGGAAGCCCGCGTCAAACGAGATACTGCCGAGGTAGGGCAGTTGTATCTGTTTTAGTCAAAGCAGCATCCAACAGAGATGAAGGCAGCAGGTCACAGCTGCAGCAGTAAAAATGTACACCAGAAGATACTAACTGATTGCTCGTCACCATCAGTGATCACGTTGTGTTATTCTGCTGCACATGCGTGCGCGTCGGTGCTTTCCGGTAATTGACTTCAGTGACTTAGACGCCGCGGTACCATCGGCAGCAGCATCTGCTTCGCCTGGGGTGTTCTTGGCAAGACAATGCGGAGATCTGAGAGATGCAACCCACCAGACCACCATGGTACCGAGCTTGTTCCGTTCGCTGCCGTACCCAATTCACATGTAAAGGAAAAGCAGACTCTTCTGTGCAGCCTTCGTCCTGTGTGACCCCGGCCGGTACACCCAAAAACGCACCGAAAACAATGGACACAAACGCGCCCTAGATGTAGGCATACATATTACGCCAGGGTGCGGGTTTCACAAAGCACGACGCGCACGCTACTGCTGTATCTCTCCGATGACTGTCTGTTCTTAGCGTTGTGGTAAGATGGTTGTAATTATCTCACGCGGTTTGCTATTGTTGGTGTTGGTATTGGTGGTGCTGATGCTGGTGCTGGTGCTGGTGTGGTATTCTTCGCAAAAACACAGCATTTTCCGACCTCCACCTCCGTTCCCATACTCCTCAACGCTGGTGCTCCTGGTTCCTTCTCTCCTTCCTCCTTCTGCACCGTTTCGTGTTTCCCACGAACCCTCCCCGCGGATCGGGGGTAAACACAGACTGGCAAGGCCGCCGTGATCGTTCCCGTCGGCGCCACGGAGCAGCACGGGCCGAACGGGCTCATTGGGACCGATCACATGACCGCCGAGGTGATGCGCAAAGACTTCGGGGGCATCGTACGTTACTTTTTAAGTGTCGAACCGACCTTCTAGTTTCGCCGAACTCTGTGCCATGGTATCTCGCATCGTTTTGTTTTGACGAGGCTCCTATCGTCTGGACGGGGAAGGGTTTTCTCCTGCGCGACAACTGCTGTCGCTTCATCGACGAGACGAGTTCTCAACACCACATGCTTGAGCCTCGTCCCCAGCAGTGTATACACCAACACAAATTTAATCGTGTCCAGCCCGGCACCAACGTGTGTTCCCCCCGGCCCACCCCCCTCCCCCCTTCATGCACGCCCTCGTTTCAAACCAATTTTCACATCATCCTTATCGCCGCCGGTGTTGAAACAAAATATGCTAATTAGGCCGTCGCCCGCGGTGTCTGCGAGGTTACCGGCGCTATCCTCGCCCCTACCATCAACTACGGCATGTCCCACCACCACGAGTCCTTCCCGGGGACGGTGACCCTGAGGCCGGCGACGTTCGTGGCGGTGGTGCGGGACGTGGCGGCTTCCCTCTCGGGGGCCGGCTTCACGCACGTGTTGTTCGTCAACGGTAGGTCGAGGGGTCAGCCGTACCGCCTTGTCTTTGGGCGGTGTCTGGGTCAATGGTGCCTCCTCTTCGCACGGCCAAGCCAGTGTTCCACGATGCGCGTGTGCGTGTTGTATGCGTGGGGGTTGAGCAGGCTTGGTACATGGCGTTGGTCTCGGGCGTTGGGGCGGTCGGTTGGTTCAGGCACACATGACGTGTCACGCAGTGGTGTCTCGAATTCTGAACACACTTGTTTCTTTCCCAGCTTCGGCCCCCTCTTCTTTGCGTGATCCGACCAACAGCACCATCAAAGAGCAACCACCTTCTCCTTCTCCTAACGAATCCGACACAACAGGCCACGGCGGCAACGTCGGCCCCGCCTTCAAAGCATTCGCAGACTTTGCAGCAGAACAACAGCAAGCCCGAGAAATGGAGGAAGAAGAAGCAGAAAGTAGTGGCGGCGGTGGCGGCGGGGACGGTGACAGCACAGCCCGGGTAAAGCTGATCAGCTGGTACGCGGGACGTGAGTCCTCGACTCTTGCCAAGGAGCTGTACGGGGGCGAGGTCGGGCAGCACGCGACGCCGGACGAGGTGTGAACAAAGGAAAATTTCAAGAAAATATCAGCTGCTACACTGGGCACACGGCTCGCCGTAGACTCCGAATCCTCAATTCGCCTGGCGTTGTACAACGTCCCCCTGTACGGTAAAGCAAGTCGTTGTGATTGGGCTAGCATCGTCGTCTCCTGTGCTCCCATGACTTTGTTCTCGACAGGTCCTTCTCTTTTTTTCTCTCCTCGCACTCGCGCTTCTTCCTTCTCCTCTTCGCTGCCTTTTCCCTGGCTGTCTTTTTTTCTCTCCAGCTTTACGGTACTGAGGGGAGACCGGGACGTTCATGAAATGCGAAGGCTACACCAATATCTTCCTCCTGTTGTGTGCATCTGTTCCCCGCTGCTACCTGCTACCTGCCTGCCTGTTCCTGTTTCTTCCCATTCGCTCGTCTTAGGTTGCGGTGACCCAGCACCTATTCCCGGAGTCTGTGAAATATGGGGTCGAGCTAGACCCAGCCGCAATCCAGGTGAGCAACAAAATCGTCAGAAGAGTGCCTGCTCTCACCCAGTTTTTGTACGTTTGTTCGTTTCTACGTCACGCAAGAGCAGTCGTATGTTGACGACTGTGCAAAAGAACGACAGCAGCAGCAATGACAGGGCTTGGTACCAGGGACAAACGCTGGCACTGGCATGGTTGTCTTCCGTTCGCAAAGGTGTCATGAGGAACATCTTCTGTCACGTGGAGGAGAAAATAGCCCCGTGGGAGGCGTGAAGAATCCATGGGTCGAAGGACGGGGGCGAGGCCGCTTGAAGACTGCACTCCGTACAGAGTGAAAACCGCCACAACGATGAAAATGAACAACAAGTGCACAAAGTACACGCGTCATCAACGAAAATCGTGTGTCATCACCACCACCCCAGGTGGCGAAAGACCTCGGGGGCATGACGAAGCGGATCAGGGACGCGGAGACGGGGCTCTCCGTCATGGACGTCCAGGACTTCCGCCGCCGCTTCCCCGACGGCCGCATGTTCAGCAACCCGGCCCTGGCCACCCCGGAGCACGGCCGACGCCTCCTCGAGGCCGCGGTCAGAGACGCCACGGACGCGCTGGGCAAGTTCTTGTCCGGGCAGGACGTTGTGGAGGAGGCGGAGGCGAAGGCCAAGCGGGCGGCCGCTATGGCAGCAGCAGCAGCAGCGGCGGAGGCGGCGGCGGCGACGGAGGGGAAGACGAAGGCGGGCAAGACATCGTTCACGCCGCGTGCGCGGTGGGGCAACGACGATGACACCAGCAGCGGTAGTGATGGTAGTGGACGCAGCGGTCGAGGCCGGGGACGAAGACGTGGCGGCGAGGGTAGCAGCAGCGGCGGCAACGGCGGCGGCGCACAGCATGCAGTAGCGCGCGGGCGGGGGGGGAGACAACAAGGGCCGCCACCGCCGTTGTGACAGGACCTGACGTGCGATAGCGGGGCCGCACCACCGCTGCGGTTGATTGATCGTGCGAAGGGGGATTGAAGGCTAAGTAACAGTCGGAGGTGGTCAGTCGTCGCATTTTAGCGGCGCGATGGAAGCCTGCCGGTGAGGGCGGGTTGCGCCCGCGGTATGTGGTTCTCTCCCCGTTGCACAACAGAAAGCCCCAGCTCCCCCAAACAATACGCAGAATCTCGTTGACATTGTGCGCAGACAAATGGCGGTAGCCTTGAACTCGGGAGCGGGGCGGCAAGTTGCACTGATGCTGTTACGCGCGCAATTTATGTCTAGCTGCAGTAGCCTTGATGCTGAGGCTCTAATTGGAGTGAGGGAATTGGCGACAAAAATGTTGGGGTCCACCCATCGCAAAACAGTACTTGACGTCGCCCCATGGACATGAACGAACGCTTTGACGGTTCATCGTCGGCCTGGAGTTTTGAGTAGGGTGCAGGGGAGCGCAGTGCTAAACTATGGAGAGCGCTTGGCAATGCACTGTGTTCAGCGCAGTGTCAGGGGGAGCGCTTGCTAATGCAACGTGTTTTCTGGCTACTATTTCTTCATGTGTAGGGAATACAAGTACACCGCGGGACCTGAGGCGGCAGTAAGCCTTGAGACGTGTTTTCTATTTCTCGGGGTCCCCGTGTAGTAGTCCTGCTGCCTGCAGCCAAAAACAAGTGTTGGAGGCGGCTACTTCGCGTCCAAGACGCCACCCGAGCTGAACCTGCCATTGCACCCAGCGCAATACGGCAGGAAGCCATGGCAGCGGCACGATGGACACACCGTGCAAGCTCGAGAACTCGGGGCCGCGATAGCTCATCGTCAAAGGGGCCACCACACCATCTCGTGTTGTGCTCGCCCACGAACAAGGCCATCTTAAACGAAAGACAAGTTTGTCGGCTTGTTGGAGTCTACGGGAGCGAGGGAACATGGCTTCTATGCTCAGTATCCGTTCGTACGGATGCAAGCACCATACCAAAAGGTAAGGAAAGGAAGGGGGACGCGGGCGCGGGCAACGACCTACTCCGCACGTCTTGGATGATTGTGTCTTCTTCCTTATTCCAAGCTCTGTGCAACAGGGGCTTCGTGTGCCCAGAACAGAGAGAGATATTGCGTTCATTTCACTTCACACCGACAGCATAGCGCGCTAGGTAGGTACGGCACAGAGAGTGGGTCCGACCGGACAAAAGGCACTACAGCTGCTCGGAAAACCCTCGGACACGTAAACAACGGAACCCACACGCATGCTCAAACACGAGCAGGCGTATTTCATCGATGGTCGTGGGCTAGACCCGCAAGAGACCGATACTAAACCAAGCTTTTGTCCCGTCGTGCTTCGGGAGGAGCCACCGACCGACAAAAGAGTCAACCTTAATGTTCCTCTCGCCAGATTGTTGGGAAGATAGACAAGACCGCAAGTTTGTTCAACATCTCCACCCAACCATACGACCATCACTAAACAAGTGTTAACTCACGCCGGGCGTTCCCCCGCCGTGGCCACCAGCCTGCGCTATTGTCTCATGGCAGCAGCAGGAGCCGCCCCCGAGGCGGTGCCTCGGTACTCCAACACACCACCGCGCTCCTCCTCCAGCCGGCGAAGCGCCGACCCTCCTCCCGGCTCCAAGCCGGCGGCGATCCCCCCCTCGCCACCGGCGACGACGCCAACGGCGGCGGCGGCGGCGGCGGACCAGCCGCACATGACCCCAGACCCGACGCACTCGTCGCCGAGGTAAAACGCCGCGAACTGCCCAGGTGCTAGGGCAGAATCTTTGTTGTCGAGGTTCACGTATCCCCTCGTCGGCGAGCCAACGCCGTCTTCCGCCGTCGCTTCCGCACCGGCTCCGCCGCTGCCGTCGCCGTGGGCAACCTCCGGCACAAGGCGCAGGAAGCAGTCTCTCATCTGCGGGCCGTGACGAGTCTTTACCCGCAAGCGCATGGACCCGTCCCGCGCGAGCTCGGCGGGGGGTCGCCCGGAGATCCACTGAAGTGCCTCCACCTGCGGCAAACAAACGATCACGAGACACCCGTTCCATGTCACCATCGGGACGGCCCACCCGGACTTTGCCTTCGACCAACGGTAGGAAGAAATGCCGCGTGTATGTGGAGAACAACATAATACGACATGCATTGCAACCCATGGCAGTGTGAGCGTGCACCTGTCACGAGGCATCCCCGCTAAAAGCTTGTTCCGCGTGATACCCGCAACAAACTCCCGAGCACACCACAACCGTTGTTTGCAACACGCCAGACCGCGGTGGTGCAACGGCACGGCCATGTGAAAAGCGGTAATCGTCCTGGACAGACGTTCGGGAGATTGTACCCTTGCTAAGGGTATCTCGACATTTCCCCCCCCTTTGGTAGGCAAGAAGGGTTCTAGGGGTAAGCGGAAACCCGACTTGACGCCGATGAGAAAAGAGGGAGTCGTCCTCGACAGACTTTGAGGAGTTTGTACCCCACATGCGTTGGGGAGATTGTACAACCCATTATGAAGGGAATCTCCACAGAAAAAGAAAAAAGCTGCAATGTACGCACCCGGAAGACCTCCCTCGGGCTCGCGATAGCCTCGCGGTCGTTCGTCACCACCAGCACGTTGCTCTCCATGTCCTTGTCGGCGACGTACCACGGGCCGAGGTTCACCACGCCGGGCACGAGGCCCGGGCCGACGCCCTTGCGCTGGCCGATGGTGTGGAACCAGAGCCCCTTGTGCTCGCCGATGTGTCGCCCGGTCTGGTCGACGATCGCGCCTGGAGAGGTGCCCAGGTAGTGCTGCAGGAACTCGTCGAACTTGAGCTTGCCGAGGAAGCAAATGCCCTGAGGTTTCCGTCGCGTCGACAAGCGATCGGTTTATGAAGGCAACACCCCCCCCCCCCCCGAATCCCAGCCACGGAATCCCCCACAGGACAATCGCACAAAAAAGAGAAAACGTGACGTGATTAAGGGTACATGTAACAAAAAAGTCCAACAGGCAAAATACGAACAACAAACAAGACTAGATGCACATGTGACGGGACGTTTGATCATTTAGTTGGGAGAAGATAGATGGGGGGGGGCGTCCGTCACTGCCAGCCGCTGCCGGTGGCGTGGTTGTGGCTTCCTGCCTGCTCCCGCAGAGAGTGTGGGTGACAAAGATCAGAAATTATCGACCCGACTCGCCCAGTGCGACGTTGAACAACGCCCACAAGGGATTCACTGCAAAGGTTACAGTCAGGCTCTCTGTACTGTCAAACCGTTTGGTACACGGCAAAACATAGCCACAAAACCAATCGCTTTACCTATCTACGAGACAAAAACACAAAGAACACCAGAATGCAAGGGATGCAAAGGCAAAAAAGACATGGTGTCAATCACGGCAATATCGTCAACAGCGTACAAGCGTGGGCGGCGACGCAAGAGGGGGTGGGAAGGGGGCTCTAAGCTCAAACGTTCCTAAGGAGGAAATAACTATACAAAAGAAGGAACTTCCTCGCCCCCGGCTCGCCCCCGTGCCTCACCAAGCCATTGTTGTTGTTGTTGTCTTGACATTAGAACCCGTTCCGGTCCCTGTTCAACTCCTTCTCTACTACCAGTGCCGGACCACTATGCAGACGCCTTTCGTGGCCATGAAACATAAGCCGCACACAGCTACGCAAAACCTGGTACCTGCGAGTCTTTCCGGTGCTTGGTGGGAAGGTCGTAGCTCTCGGCAAGCTCCCGGATCTGGTCCTTGGTGTACACCCCGAGCGGGAACAGCGCCTTCCGCAGCTGGTCCTGGGTCAGCGCGCACAGGAAGTACGTCTGGTCCTTGACGGCGTCGGGGCTTAGCAGCAGTCGGACCCGCCCCCTGTCACTGCCGGCGGCTACCCTTACCGGAGCCTCTTCCGTTCCCGCTGCAGCTGCCGCTGCATTGCGATCGTTAGGGGTAGCATTGTTGTCGACGCTGCCGCCCGAGTGCTCGAGCCTGGCGTAGTGCCCGGTGGCGACGTGCCGGAAGTGTTTCCCGACGTGGTCGTAGAACATACCGAACTTGATCCTGCTGTTGCACATCACGTCCGGGTTGGGCGTGCGCCCCTCGCGGGCCTCCCTTACCGTGTACGACACTACCTGGTCCCAGTATTCCCTCTGCAGCGGGACGACCTCCAGGGGGACACCCGCCTGCTCGCACACCGCCGTGGCGTAAGCCAGGTCCTCCTCCTGCTCGTGGTAGACAGATAGATTGTGGTTCGAAGCAATGCCCGGGGCGGTCTGTACTGCTGTGGCTTGCATTAATCGTTGTTCAAAAAGTAAGCGTGGCTCGGAGATGATTCAAGAATTCAAGAGCAAGAGAGCAAGTCTGGGTGCGTTGCGGCAGTCGGGGAAAAGCCAATCGACCAGAATCAGCTGCCGCTGCAGGCACGGAGGTATAACCTCAGGGCTACCCCCCCCCGCGCCGCGACGGAGGAACACCGTGCTTGGGGCTTAGAAACAACCCAATCACACTCACGGGAACCAGGGCAGAGGCACACGACATTCGAAACAAAAATTTAGCGTGTCTCTCGCAAGAGACCCGTGGCACCACAGAGAGCCAGCGGGCAGGCAAACGAAAGCTGAGAACAAAACTGTTCAACTCACCCACGGGCACTCATTGAGGTGAGCAAGCTCGTCCTCCAGCCAGATCTTGAGGTAAAACGCCCGGATCTTGTACCCTTGGTCTTGGAGAAGTCTCATCGCCACCGACGAGTCCACGCCCCCCGAAAGCAGCATCGCCACCTCGTTCTCCGCGCCCGGCAGGGGGTACCAGCTGCTCGCGTCGTCTCCCCAGCTGCGGCTGGGGTCCAAACCAGCGGTGGTTGTGGTGGCTGTGATGTCGGCAGTAGTGCTGCTGCTCGACAAAGCTGCTGCAGACACTGTTGCTGCTACCTTTGGTGCTTCCCCCCTTGCCGCGGCTGCTGCTGCTTCTACCCTCGCTCGCGGCGGTGATGTCGACAAGGCTGCTGCTGCTCTGCTTGCCGGAGGCACCGCTATCTCTCGTTGCGCCGGCGCCGCTGCCGCTGCTGCTGCTGCTGCTGCTTCTACCTTCCCTGCGTTGGTGGCCGCTCGTGGGGTAGCTCCCTGCACAGCGGTCAGGTCCACCAGGGTCGGGCGAAGGGTGTCCGCCGCCCCGGCGGCGGCAGAAGCGGCGGCAGCGGCGCGGCGGAAGTGCCCCCGCACTTGATCCTGGATCACCCCCAAGACGTTCCCCAGCCCGTTGATCCGGCTGGAAGTGAGCCCGGCCCTCATCCCCACCGCGGCCGCGAGGTCCTTGCCCCGCAGGCTCAGGACCGTGCGGGCGCTCTGCCCCTGAAGGCCGAGAGCCAGCAGGGCCAGCAGGCCACGGCTGAGCCTGGCATCGGCGGTGCCCCGGATAGAGACGACGCCTCCGCCGCCGCCCGCTCCGAGAGAATCGTCCGCCGCCGCCGTCGCCGCTCCTCCCCGCCGGGACGGCGGTGGCGGGCTCTCCTCCACGCGGACGGCCACGTACACCTCCGAGACGCAGCCGGGCACTTTATGCGCGTGCCAGCCGTCTGCCGAGGCTTCGTTCACCGCCGTGCTGTCGCTGGGCACTACGACGGGCAATACCGCGGCGTCGGTGTTCGCGAAGGCATCTCCGAGTTCTACGAGAAGCTTGCTCTTCGTCTTGAGGTCGGTGTCTTGTCCGAGCATGTCAACGGCTGCTTGGAGTCGCGGCGGGAGGCCCGGCGGAGGAGGGGGAGGAACGAGGCGTCCGTCGGTAACACTAGCGGCGGAGGCTGCGCCGTCGCTGTCCATCCAGGCTGTTCGCGGGCGCTTGCGGCTGCGTGTTGGTGGCAACGCTGCCCTTGTTGCAGCATGATTTTGAAAACGCTTTGGCAGAGGAGACGGGTGCGGTGTGAAGCATTCAGCTGTGCCTGCAAGCAATGCTGCGGAAACTAGCAAGGCGTCGATCTTCATCTTCCTGTCTCGCACTTTGTTTCTCGTTCTTCACTCTGTCTCAGCATCAAGCAAGCAAGGGCACAGTCAGCAGCGTCCCGGCGTGCCGACCTGGCGTAGTATGTGGGGGGGGCACCGGCATATCAGTAATCTCCGAAAGGGGTTTTTAGGAGAGAACGGTTTGCTTGTCTGTTGAAACCGCTTCGTAGACTCAACTTCGACCTATATATACGACGCGGCTCGAGGTTTTTTGGCGGTCGCTCGCTGGTGGCTAGTGGCTAAGCCACGGCTTGTGACGTGCTAAGCATTGGTATTGCATAACTTGAAACGCTCATCGTACCAGGCCGACATGTGAGTTTGAATGGAAACACTCACATCTGCAACGACAGCAATACCGCCGTACAGAAACAAAAATCTCAACTCTCAGCCCGCCAGTGTGTTTTTATTATTAGAATCGACCGCGCTGGTGTGCGTTCGAAATCGGAACATGGGGTTGTTTGCCGAGACTATTGTTTGGTATGTGTCTGGGCTATGTCGAAGCTTGCCCCAGCTCAAAAATATGTAAGGAGGATGTAGATGTGTAGAACAAGGCGGTGGATATTGTGGGAGGAGGACACGTGTACCTCACAACGCTGCATGCGTCTAGGTCCTGACCGTTCCGACATCTATCGTGTGCCCCTTGTCCCTTCTATCCGAAAGATCGGTAGAAACACAGGCAGATCATGTGATGGCATTTTGAATCCATCCCGAAATGATCGTGGATCTCTACACATAGTCTACTGCTGTTCTAGCGTTGTAGTCTAAAGAAAAGATGAATCTGTTTCGCGTACCATACTTCAAGTACATGAGTAAGCACACCAAAGAGAACGGCTTTCCAACTTTTTACTACAATCGTCCCATCCACATCTGCATACATTCTGTAAGATACATATCGTACATCTAGACCTATTCTTGGGGACAGTTTCTACACCTTCGGGCGCAAAAATGACAGTTGTAGTCTAGTACAGGTCATCCTGTGGCATATGCGTACATGAACTTTACAATACATAACTTTCGTTCGCTGTGCATGCAGCCCTCATTAATTGAGCGTGCCCTCTTTCTGGCCAATCTCTCGCAGGGTTCAGCAGGTGGAAAGAACAGCAAAGCTACCTGAGGATTTAGCAGCAGTCCTACAGCTGCAGACACCCATCGGCCAATGGAAGCTTTGCAAGCGTCTTTACCGTGCTCTCGGACACACGCCCGCTAGCATACCATCTCCTCCCGAAGGGGTCAAGGACGGGCGCTGGGCGACAGCGTTGGCAGTGACCTTCTTGCGGCGCAGGCCAGACTTGATCGACCTCACGTATGAGGCTTATAGGTGAGGGGAAAGTGCGTGGTGGATACGTAGTTTTTCCATCGAACCGGGCTTGAGGTTGTGCAAACGGCACTGACTCGTCAACAGTATTAAAGAAACCGTCGTACACCCCTGCAGTAGGTGGTGGGGTCCTGCTGTCGTCTGTTACCCGCAATGCGCTCGTCCTCATGCTCGCCTTTCCTTTCTGCGACGCACGAATAGTAACGTAGGTCTCGCCGTCTCACCTCTCAGACTATTTCCCGTCCAACTCTTGCCCGCTCGACCAACGCAATAGCCGAGCGATCGCTTGGGTCGACGAGCCGCTCCTCGCGCAGGCACACAGCCGTCTTCCGCCAGCCGACCTCTACTACCCCGTGGACGAAGCGGCGTCACGGCAAGGCCGATGGCAGCAGCAGGCCGAGGAGGCTCTAGAGGAGTGCGGATACGCCTACTTTTTGCCTTCGCCCTCTACTGCTGCTGCAGACCACAGATGCGGCGGCGGCGAAGAAGGTGATGATGGTGCTGCTGCACCCCGCCGCCACGTCCCGACGACCTCGAACTTGTCACCGGCGCGTGCGAAATCCGATAGCACCACCACCAGCAGCAGCAGCAGCCACGTCTCTGGAGAGATGGAACGCCAGGGGGTGAAGGTATTCCCCTCAGCGACCGCTACCGCTCCCTGCGTAAGGAGACGAGGCCGACGGCGGGGAGTGTCGGCGAAGTCACGCCTCAAGGCCATGGCGGCCGCGAGGCATCAAGAAACGCTTGAGCAGCAGTCGCAAGGCCTACACCTAGAGATGAAGCGCGCCATGAAGGTGGCCACCACGACCTTCAGAGAAGGCGACAGGGTGGAGAGCCGCTGGCGCCGTCCCACCCGGCTCGACAAAGCAAAGATCGATCCAGGCGCCTGGCACCCCGGCCGTGTGGTCCAGAGCCACAAGGGCGGCGACAGGGTGGACGTGGTGTTCGAGGACGGAGACGGCGAGCGCCTGAGCGGTATATCTACCAAGCATGTCCGACTAGCTCCGCCCCCTTCTTCCTCAGAACGCCCTCCCCTCGTGAGCTCCGGTAGGGACGATGATTACGTGACGGCTGCCGGGGTGACGGGAAGAAGAAATAGCTGCGACCGACGGCCGTCGTGCGCCCCGACGCCCGCGCCGACCGAGCTGGTGTGCTCGGCGATCCGTCGCGAGCTCGCGCACATCGCGTGTGCGACCAAGTCCTTGCGTTGCACCTGGGAAGTCCCCGTGCCTATCAGCCAGGAGATGGCGAGGCTCAGGATGCTGGAGGAGCGCAAGATGCGCAGTCGGCCGGAATGGCGCGGATCGTTTCCCCTAGTCGACTTCAGCGCGACGAAAAGGCTGCCATTCGGGGCCGGCGGGATGGCCAGGACGGTCGTGCGGAAAGTAAAAAATACTGCCGCATCGGCGGTTTCCGCGGTGTTAGCCACTCGCGATCATCAGCTGCAGGCGCAGAGTACCGTTCGCGACGATAGCAGGACGAGGTTGCGAACGGTACAGTCGTCACCCTCGTCCTCACTCAAGATGCCGATGACGGTCCCACAAGTACAGCGAGATGAGAACGATGACCGTGACCTGGGGCAAGGAGATAGGTGCACTTCCACTGACGACAACACGGTCAAGGAGACCAACGCGAGGAGCGCCGGCAAAAGGCGTTCTTCATCGTCCTCGCCATCTCCCGCGGCGGTGGCGGCGGCGGGCGTGGCAGCGGCGGCAGGGGCGGAGGCGGCCGGGGCGACGGCTCTCTTAGCGGCACAGGCGAAGCTCGTCTCCGCTGCCGTGGCGTACGACAGGTGCGTGGCTGGCGTCCGCGACTGCCTCGACAGGGGCTGCGCCGCGTTCCGTCTGGCTCGCACGTACTCCGAGCAGCAGAAAGCTTTCGAGGAGTCGACGGCTACGTTAGGCCCCGCACAGCCCGCGCGAGCCGGCTACAAGGACTGGCGAGGGAGTCCCGTGGTGGGGCTGCAGAGCGCCACGCTCGATGTCGTGGAGGCCATGGACGATTGGGCGGCGGAGTGGGCGGTGGCCAAAGGTGGCAAAACGGATGCCGGGGGGGGAGATAACGCGTTTGCAGAGGAAGGAGTCGTGCTAAAAGACGGCGCTGTGGAGGAAGTCGCTGTCGCGGCGCCGCCGTTTCTGTGGGAAGGGTCGCCGTTGGTGTCAACGGTCATCGGCCAAAGCGCCAAGCTTGTTGCCGGCGCGCCGGAACTCAAGGAGTGGTACGGTCCCGGGTTCCCGATCGAGCGGAACCCTTTCTTTCTCGCTTATCCGGTGGACGACCGACCCGTTACCCCACGCAGCGCTCTCGTCCGGGCTTGGGTTAACGGGGAGGTAAGCGGTCGGATGGTGGTGGATACGAGCGTGTGCAACCAGGAATTCGTCGCTGAGTAAGCCGGGGATCGGTCTGGTTCCCTAGCGCACACCATATTGACCACAGGGTTGGAATGAATCAAGTGGACGAGGGTATGTGCGCACCTACACCCAGCATCAAAGAAAACATGCGTGACGTGCGATGCCAGATCCCCAACAGACAGGGTCTGTTGTATTCCAGCGTGTATACTGTACGAAGCTCCTCATAGCCCAATCGGCTGCCAACAATACACCCAAACACGAAGTACGGAGATGAACCTCTCTCGCGCAATGTGCACGAGTCAAAATAAGCCAGCCGCCGCGTATCGTATGAGTCCCATCCGCCACTTTTGGCCCTTCCTATCCCGTTGCTTGGGACTGGCACCGCAGATGGCTACGACGGTCAGCCCAATGCTGTTGGAAGAGCGAGAGAAGGAGGAGTCGGCCCTGAAAGCCGTTGTCGACAAGCAGACCTCCGCCCCGTCCTGGTGGCCCACCGCTCTGGGGGCGTTGGGGGGCGACGCGCACTACCAGCGGATACGCCGGGCGGAGAAAGTCCTCGCTCGCGAGGAGGCCCAAGTAATCAGAGACAGGGAACCACCGTTCACATGAAGGCCAGGGTCCACCGGACAACGAACTGGAATGAGCAGGACTCAAACCTGCCGGTCAGCGTTCGACAAAATCCGAATATTGTACTGAGTCTGTAGAGTCATAGCGTCCCAAACCAACGCTCCGAAGCTCAGCTTTTTTACTTTTGGGGCACAATTTTCCTACGAAGAACCTCCGTGATGGTGTTGAGCATTTTTCTCTCTGGTGTTGTGGCGGCAGGCAGTGGTCTGTGACCCGTGGCGAAAGCGCTATGTAAGGTTCTCAGTTGTGTGGTGTGCACAGGGGTGTCGCAAAGTGGTGGAATTCTCCCGTACATCTTTGTCCTGGTCGGGAGGGGATCGTGATGTAGTGAATTCTAGAGTTACGCTGCTTAACTGAAGCTTTTGGTTAACCCATGGTATTGCGCGCCTCGCGTTTGACAGGGACCAAGCGTGTCCCGCACCATGCGCGAAGACATCGACAACTGTTTCCCGGAGGCAGAACTGCGGTTGTGGGCCCTGGTCTCAAAGCGACGGGTGCGGAAGAAACAATAAATTTTGTTGATGGGAACGAAGGCAACATTTTGCTCTTCGTTGACGACTAATTCGATCTGACGGTCCGAAGGCGTGAAAGGAATTTCCCAATTCGGTGACAGGTTCCTGGCGGGCAAGAGCTTCCTCTAACTTGCTACATGATCGTGAGGCTGCATGACGCTGTACCAACTCTGTAAGACACAGACCCATCTCTGTAAGCCTGCTTGACAAAAAGCCAGTCTGTGGTTTCAGGCACTACATCCTCGATCCTGTACATAATACTAACCCTAGACACGAGCACATCGCCTGGAGCTCTCGTCGCCTAAATTGGTGTCTCGAGAGTGTCATGCGCTACGGGGGGGCAAGCAGACACGTATCGTCATTGCCTGGCGGCCAACCCAACAGAATATCCACGAGGCCCTCTGTTCGGAGCAATCCACGGCAGTCTATGCCGACGGCACGTGGGGACCTAAGGCATATCCTGAAGTCTGCCGGCCTCAAGCATTCAAAACACCGCCGTCCTCAGGGCAGCCGAGTACAAAGCCGGACCCCGGGATACCGATTGGACGGCAGGGAAGGTGAAACCGAGCGTTCCCTTCCTAGACGCCGCATCACAAAGCACCTGTCGCTGCCACTGCTGTCGCACGACTTCATGAACCGATTCGGCGATGGGGAGAATGGAATTGAAACTCAGCAAGCAAGTCTTTTCGCACATCTTACACAGAAAGTCAGGCCGACAGACCCACAAGACCGTCCCGATCTACACGGAAACACCCAAACCTTGCTTGCGCAAAGTGCAACCTCCCGAGAGCGAGACCTGCCCCTTGATCGCAACGCACAGCGGCCGAGGCCAATCCCTTCACGTTCTACCACCGCTGCTACTGCCACCATTGCTCCCAACTACTTCTTCGACCTATGGCTGCTAGACGAAGACTTCCCACCAGCTCGCCCTTTTCCGCTGCCTCCTCCCCCTCGTCTCCCGCCGTCGACGCCGCCGCTGCCGCCCCCGCTCCGTGAGGATGGGTTGGTAGTTCCTGTCGAACCCTGAGCCCAGGAAGTCGCGGCTGCCGCTGTCGCCGCCTCCGCTGCCGCCGGAGGTTGACCTTTCGTCACCGACTCCTTCGCCCTTGACAGTATGCGCGGTGTTGGTGGCCCGGCCGAGGCGCTGCTCTTCCCCGCCGTTTTGCTACCGCCGCCCCTCGCGGAGCCAGGACGGCTCTTTGATGCTGCCGACGGAGCCTCCTGTTGTTTGGTGGCCGGCGTCGACGCCAGCGTTGGCGCCGCCGCCTTGGTCGCCTTGGCCGCCTCCGCCTCCGCCGCCGCCGCCTTCGCCGCCCTGTACGATGCCGACATCACGCTGACTCCCCCCGCCGACCCGGTTGTTGTTGTTGCTGTTGCTTTTTGGCATCCTCGCGGAGCGGCGGCCGGTGGCGGCGGTGGTGGCTGGGGCCGCGAAGACGATGGCGCGTTCTTAGCCGATGACGTTTTCGCGGTCGCTGCCGATGTCGACCTTGCCGCCGTCCTCGTCGCCGTCGCCGACCCAGCGGCAACCCCCCCCGTGGTCCTCCGGCTGCTACTCCCGCCGCCGCCGACGCTACCCCGACTCGCGGAGGAGCCGAGCGCCGCCGCTCGCTGGCTATCCCTGACCCTCCTCGCGCCCCTCTCGCGCAGGAAGTCGAGGAGAGCGTTCTGCGGCTTGGGCTCCTCCTTCCCCTCGGACTCCCTGATGTCGGCCTGGACGTCCGCGCTCGGCAGCGGCTGCGCCGGCGACTGCAGCGCGGCGCAGAAGGCCTTGTAGCTCGCGTCCTTCTCGATCGTGCCCACGCGAACGTCCCGCTTGGGCTTCTGCTTGAAGAGCTGTTTTGAACGGGCGACGGGTCGCGGGTTCGGTTCGAAAGGTGAGGCCAGGCGGTGTTGGGCATGGCGTGAGGCAGGGTTAGAGAGGTGTTGTCAATCACCAGCTCGAGAGACAAAACATAGCAACACAGACAGCCGAGACAAGAGAACCACAACAAACAACGCCTCCTCCTTACCTTCTGAAACGGGGCGGTCTCAACCGTGGGTCCCGCGGTCGCCGTCGTCGACGCGACGCCACCCCCGCTCTGCTTGCCGCCGCTTCCCTCCTTGGAGGAGGAGGACGCAGGCTCCGCGGCCGGCGTCAAGGCGTCGGAGGCCGAAACCGCGGCGCGCAGCTTGGACAGGCTCAGGTCGGCGTTGGCCCCCCACTCGCGGTCGATGTGGAGGTACGCCGTCCCCGTCACCTGTACATCGGCGCGCGCGTATGCATACTAGAGATGGGTCACGATGATCGGTAAGAGCGTGTTTTTTCTCCGAGGTTTCGGGTGCCATGACCGCGATGGCACACCCGACTCGATTCCAAATAACAGGGCGGAGTCACGCACGCAAAACACAGAAGAGTCCAGTGAAACAAAGGCTGCAGTCTAAGCGGTGCCACAAGTCAAGTAGCAAAGGGGTCGTCGCACCGAAGCTGGAAAATAGAAAATGCAAAAGGATGCAATCACCCCGGTGTTCGTTCCGTGCTAGGGTCTCGGGCGTGTAAACAGCTCCCTCACGTTGAGCGAGATTTCTTCTTCGCTGAACAACAGATCAGTGAGAGCAGCCCAAACGTACTTGTAGGTCGAGAGCCTCAAACGAGACGGAGAAATCCCCTTGCTCACCCTGCCTCTCTTCTTGCTCATCTTGCCCGGCGTGAAGTACATGAGGTCCCACGAGCCCCCCCGCTCTCCCATCCCCGCGTCAGAGGCCGCCGCTGTCAGGGCCTCGACGAACTCCTCCTCCTTCATCTGGTGGGGAAGACGCCGTACCACTACCTGTTGGTTCCGAAAAATCAATGGGCGCGCCGGGGGGGG